TTTCGCTACCAAACCTGACAGTTGAGGGTACTCTTTGGAGAGAGTTAAAAAATACATACCAGCCAGTGTTTGGACTGCGAGCCCATCTCTTTGGATGGTGAGGACAACCAGGGTGAGGATTTCTAGATGGAATGGATGAGCCACACTCCTCAACCTTGTCGCCTGCCCAGGGATTGAGATGAGATTGCATTTCAAAGCTTCTGGAAGCCTCCCTAATCCTCATTTCTCCTCAGCCGTGGCATCTGCCCTCAGACTCTGTGTCCTAATTCCCAGACAGGGCCATGACATCAATCAGGATGCAGTGTGGTGACCGTGCTTTCAACCCTCTCTGTCTCCATACATTGTGTGTCTTTTTATGTCAATAAATTGATCTAGTAATTTTTACTCACATAAGGAGAGCACTGACATGTATTGAGTGCATGCTGTGTAACAGGCATCACACCACTTAATGCTCACAACAGCCCTGTGAGGCCAGCTCTATTTTATCCCTATTTTACAAATGGAGCATGGGAATTTTATGGACGTCACCTTGTCCAAAGACCCACTGTGAAATGGTTGAGCCAGGACCTGGACTGAAGGATTCAAGGCCACATACTCAACCGTGACTCTAAAGTCCCCATTACTGTGAACCATTACCGTGGGACTGAGTAGGGAGAAAATGCTGCTCAGGGCGTAGCTTTCTTTAAGAAAACCATATAAAGGAAAATCTGAAGCTGTAAAGCAGATGTATTCCTTTGCAGAAGAAATGCAGTGTTATTAAAAATCCAGTGCTCCACCGGGAGCACTTAAACTGTTTGTTTTCACAGAATTTACTACTTGACTTAGGGGTTTGGCAGAGTCAGAGAAACTCAACTGGAGTGTTAGGGAGCTTCTAGCCTCCAGTGATCACTGGGAAATTAAGATAAAGCGTCTCTTCATCAGAAGCGGGGCAAGGCGGCACTGTGTAATCACAGATTTTGGAGCTGCTTCACAGTCAGGAAATAGCTATGCGTGTAAAAGGTAGTGGGGAAAGAGAATTGCATTACACAGGATGAATTCAAGAGGGCTTCTTCACGACAACGGAGGTATGCCTGCCATTCTTTTCCGTGAATAGAGTGGAGCCTATGGCAGAAATAAGGTGAGAGGTTCTACAGGGAGGATTCAAATATAGATCTTGCTCCTGCTGCTGGAATACAGAAATGGATCACTTACATTAGGAAGAAGGATGTTTAGGAGACAGAGTCAAAAACATAGAAATTTATGTGAAATTTTGGCTGAGGGTGGAGGTCAGTGTTGAAATTTTTGATTTTAAGCATTTGAGGTCTGCTTCCCACAGCACCCCTCATGTCGCTGCCCCCACTTTTCTGCCTACAACCTGCCAGTGGTCTCCCACTGCACTTAGATAAAACTCAAACTCCATCCTATAGCCTACAATCTGTGCCTGATCTGGCTCCTCTCTGCCTTCCCAGCCTCTTCTCTTTCCACCCTCCTCTTTGTTCCTCCAGCCACACTGGTCTGGTTTTTGTCCTTTGAACATGCTGCATTCATGCCTGACTCAGGTCCTTTGCATTCACTTGCTCCTCCATCTGAAATTCCCTTTCTTACCTTTTGCATCACTGGCTCCTTCTCATCTTTCCAGTCTCAGCTCCTACTCACCACCTTAGAGAGCCTCATATTTGTCAGGTGATCCTACTTCCTTCAAAGCGCTTACCATAATCTCTAATTACCTACTTACTTGTTTATTGCTCATCCTCACCCACTAGATTTCAAGCTCCAGGGGTGAAAAGAACTTGGGCTTTGTTAAAACTTGGTGTCGTTAGCACCTAGAACAGTGCTGGGGATTGCTGGACATGGGGCATGTGCTTGCTGAATGAATGGATAAACTGCCATTAGAGCCAGATGTCTTACTAACCATGCGAAGAATTTTCAGACTCCTCATTGCTACTAATAAACACCAGTTTTAAAACAGAATAGAATCCGCCTTTTTTTGAAAACCAGCCTAAGTCTTCTGTAATGGTTAAGAGTACCGTATGTTTCAGAAATAAACCCAGCAAAAACAAAGATCTGAAATGCAGACACTGAAATTGACTTCTTGAATGACAGTGTGAGGGGCTCCGTGAACCCACTCTCCAGTGAAACTGGTGAAAATTATCAAAAAAAAATTTTTTTTTAATCTCTGGAAATGGTCCTAAGAGTTTATAGCAAATGAAGAAACATCTGTTCGAGGAAATTTATGAAACGTTTGTAAGAAAAGTGAGAATCTATGGGATTGGAAAAAAAAAATGGTCCCTCTGTATTCCCATTCCAAGCTCAGTGAGACTTCACCCCAGACTGATGCAGCCAAAAGCACAGGACTCTTCTACCCTCAGCTACCCTCCCTCCAGTTGGAGGGATTTCTTCCCAGCAGGAGAAGGACCCAACATTTCTCATCCTGTCGCCAGTGTCCTGCTGCTGAGGCTAAGTCCCAGCCGAGTGTGCTCTGGAGGTGGAGGCTCCTCCTTCTGCCCATTCCCCATTCATGGAATGAAGTCTAGCTTGGTTGCAGTGTGCTGAGAACACTGGCACCCTGGTTGCCCTTGCCCTGGTTCATAAATCGGGGGTTTCATGCTAAGAGAAGCAGACTGAGAAGGCCTCGGACTACTGCACCCCTCCACTATAAAGTGGAGGTTCCTCTGAAAGAAACCCGCCATTGTCTTCATTCTCAGCTTCAGAGCCCAGGTTCCAAGATTCTGTGTGGGGGAGAAACAAGCCGTAAAACAGACAGCACCTAGTCCCTTCTGAGAGGAATCAACTTTGTTTGCAACAAAGCTGCAGTTCAAGACAATGAGTACCCTCAAAAACAGTGGAGGTAGTGGTTAAAAGCAACTGGGAGGAGATCCCTACATTCAAAGAAGATACAGACTAAACTTCAGGCTGATTACCTCGTGGGAGAGATCTAGGAAAGGAGACAGCTGGGAGGAGCCCTCCTGCAGTCAGAACAAACATCAAAAACTGACCTCAGGAACTGTTCTGTCAAGGGCGCCCAAACCTGACTGGATTAGTCTTCAGAGCAATTTATTCTCAGGAAGTTCTTGAAAAGAACAGAGCAATCAGCCAGCAATCATTAGAGCCTAACAGCTGGGTGTGGTCAGAGAAAGAGATGAAGAGCACTCTGACAAACCACTGTCATCTAGGGTAACTGTGGGTGTACCCCAACCTGTGCCTCCCTGAGTTACAGCATCAGAGTCTTCACACTATGAGGGAATGGAGGTGCAGGAGGGTGGATTTCGCTAAAACAATCCAGGCAATCACTAAGTAAATAAAGAAGCAAATAACAATAATAACACCAGGGGGTAAGGAAGTATCCAGAGTTACTACAATAAGTTATGTAAAATGTCCAGTTTCCAAGAAAAAACTATGAGATTTGCAAAGGAACAAGGGACTATAATCTATTCTCTGGAAGAGAAAGCAGGCAACAGAAACTACCCAGAAAAGTGACCAAATGTTGGATTTAATTGAAAAAGACTTCAAAGTAGCCATTATAGATCTGTTCAAAGAACCAAAGGAAACCATCATTAAAGAAGTAAAGGAAGAAATGATGGCGATGTTGAACCAAGTACAGAATATCAATAAAGAGTTAGAAATTATAAGAAAGAATTAATGGAAATTCTGGAGCTGAAAAGTGCAATACCTGAAATGAAAAATTCACTAGAGGAACCAACAGTAGATTTGAATTGGCTGAAGTAATAATTAGAAACCTTGAATATAAGTCAATAAAGATTATACAACCCCAATAATAGGGGGAAAAAAGAATGGGAAAAAAAAGAACAGACTGTCAGAGAAATGTGGACCACCACTACATGAACCTATATATAAATAATGGAAATAGCATGAAAGGAGAGAGAAAGAAGTAGAAAAAATTTTTGAAGAATAAAGGCTGAAAACCAGGAATGTCAGTGAACTCCAACAGGATAAACACAAAGACAGCCACAAGCAGACACATCATAGTGAAAATGCTAATGGTCAAAGGCAAGGAGAAAATGTTGAAAGCAGAAAGAGCAAAATGACTCATTACTTGCAAGGGAACCACAGTAAGATGAACAGCTGACTTCTCAGAAACAAAAGAAGTCAGAACGTAATGGGATAACATTCAGAATGCTTAAAGAAAAAGACTGTCAAACAAGAATCCTATACTCAACAAAACTATCTTTCAAAAAGTTGAAGGCAAAATACCATCCCAGATAAACAAAATGGAGAGAAACTTGTAGCTAGCATTATAAGAAATATTAGAGGAGGTTCTTCAGGCTGAAAGCAAGTGACGCCAAGTGGTAATTTAAAAATACACACAAAAGAACAAAGAGCACCAAAAAGGTAATTATATAATTATAAGAGACAGTATAAATGCATATTTTCTTCTTCCTTCTGTTAACTGATGTATATTCAGCAGGAAGATCCAGCTACCAGTCCCAACTAAGGATTCCCACTGTGTGAAGGATGACAAAGAAAGACATTAGCAATGCCAGTCACCAGTAGTTGAAGCCCACAAATCTTCTACAGGTTTGCAGTCACCAAGGAAGACTCAACAGAGATTCTGGTTGAAACAACACTTTACCCACAGAAAGCTGAAAAGACGCAGCAAGATCAGCATGTCTGGTATGGCCTCATTGCCCATGGCCTGTGGGCCTCTCTCAGTAGTCAGTATAGATCGGTGGGCTATATGCATCCTTCTCATACTGCAGGTAAAGATCTGTTCTCTCCCCCTCGGGGGAAGACATACTAGTGGGGCTGACCAGTTTCTTTATGATGCACACATTTAAGCAATACATGGATGTTCACTGTATAATCAGAATAGGAAAAGGATTTCTCCTAATAAGGAAGAAGGATCTGAGGCAGCCCTTGGCACCTGGCCACCATCTAAGGGAATGCTCTAGGCTCAGGGCACTGATTGGATTATCCCAGGGAAGGGCAACACATCAAGCAGTGGCTGCTTCCCCAACAATATAAAAAGCAATTGTGTCTCCAACCTCGAGCTAATTTGCAGACAGCTTTGGCGCCACGCCCAGCTGATCAGCATGATTACAGATGTGCAGCTCACCATCTTTGCCAACATGCTAGACATGTTGCTCTTCCTGCTCGTTGTTCTCTGTCACTTCATGGCCATCAACAGATCCAAGACACAGGAATGAAAGTGGTGCTTTCTTTGCCCCAGGATTCCAGGCCACAGTCTGAGACAAGATAGAGGCTCTGGGGGATCTACACACTTCACTTCATCCCTTCTGCCCATCACAACATACAAAGCAACTACATCTGAATTTTTCCAAACAACTTTTTTTTCTTCAAAGTCTTCTTTAACCTCATGGAATAAGAAGCTGCCACTGACTAGGACCTGTTATAGGGGCTGCTTTCTTTTCTACTCTGTCTTCTCGAAGTAAAAATGTAAATTTTGTGGTTAACCTCTCCCCCACAAAAGACAGTTGTACAACCTACTGTGTATCTAGTGTATTGCTGGTTAATAATATACAGAAATGTTTCACTTTCAATAATGAATAGAACAGTTATGCAGAAGATCAAGAAGGAAATAGAAGACTTGAAAAACACACTGAGCCATCTAGACATAACAGGCACAATAGAACACTGCACCCAGCAACAAAAGAGTATATATTCTTCTCAAGTGTACAGGGAACATTTTCAGGACAGACCATATGCCATATGAAAATAGAACTCAAATAGAAAAAATATGGAAAACTCATAAATATGTGGAAATTTAACAACAGACTCCTAACCAGTGGGTCAAAGAAAAAAGTTAAATGGAAAAATCAAAAAATACTTTGAGATGAATGAAAATGAAGACATACCACACCAAAAATTTATGAGCTGTAGGTAAAGCATTGCTTAGAGGGAAAGTTACAGCTATAAATGCCTATCCTATACCGAGAGAAGAAAAATCTCAAATCAATAACCTCATTTTTTAACCTAGGACACTGCAAGAAAGAAGAGCAAACCTTAAGAAAGCAGAAGGAAGAAAAAATTAAACATTAGAACAAAATAGAGAATAGAAAAACAATACAGAAAATCAACGAAACTAAAAGCTTCAAAAACAATGACAAAATTGATACACTTTTAGCTAGATTGACCCAGGAAAAAACAAAAACAAAGATTACTAGAATCAGAAATAAGAAGAAATTATTACCAAGCTTACAGAAATAAAAAGGATTATAAAGGAATGCTGTGAACAATTGCATACCAATAAATTAGATAACTCAAAAAAATGGACAAATTCCTGGAAAGAGACAAATGATTAAGAAGGACTCAGGAAGAAATAGACGCTCTCAGTAGAACTGTAACAAGGGAAGAGATTAAGTTAATAATTAAAAAGCTACCCACAAAGACAAACCCATGCCCAGATGGTTTTGCTGCTGAACTCTATCAAACATTTAAGGAAGAATTAATACTAACTCTTCACAAACTCTTCCAAAAGGCAGAAGAGAAGGGAACACCTCCCAACTCATTTTATAAGGCCAGAGTTACCCTGATACCAAAGACATCACAGGAAAAGAAAACAAGAGACTAACATCTTCTACAAATATGGGTATAAGAATCTTCAACAAAACACTAGAAGACTGAATCTCACAACATGTGAAATACAAGAGATCCAATTTTATAGTCAAAACGAGAAAAACTTCTATTTTCTGTGCAGTTTTCCTTCATCTCTGATTTATATACACCTCCTGGGGAAGAAGCCCCCCCACCCCCCACCAGTGTGAACACAGCTTGAGAAGCCCACTGCGTATGTCACTTTGTACAGCGGGCTCTGGCCTCAGAAAGTCATAGAGAAAATTCACTTTGCTTGGCTTTTGAGACTTTCTTAGAAGACAGAATATTCTTTCCTCTGACATCTATACATGTTAAGTATTCCTTGGATTTCCCAAACCCTCTATCCAGAATGCAAAATTGTCCAGCCGTACTTTGCAGACTCTCACAACGCTGGCTTAATAAGAATTCCAAGAGCAAAGTGATAATAATTAGCTCTCACTTTGGTGTTGTATCAGGTAGGATGCTTTCGTCCATAGGTAGCAGAACACAAGATCAACAGTGGCTGAGGCAAAACAAACATTTATTGCCTCACCTAACTGGCAGCTCACTGGTAGATGGTCCCTCAGCTAGTTTACTGGCTCAATAGTATCCTTGAAGATTTAGACTCTTTCTGTTTATTTCATTGTCCTTAACCATTAGCATTGTGTCCTCAGGCCTGTTGCCTCACTGTCACAAAATGGCAGCTATAACTCTAGACATCACATCTGTGCTCAAGGCAGGAAAAAAGAAGGGTTAGTACCAGCAAACTCTCTTCATGTATCTTCTATGGAAACCAAATTCTTTCCCAGAGTTTCCCAGGAGACTTCCACATATATATTATTGGACAAAACTGGGTCTGACAGCCACCCCTAGGTAGAAGTGAAGCTGGGGAAAAGGCTGGGTCCCTCATTCAGCTGTCAACCACCTGACTAGAAATCAGGACTTCTCCGAATGTGTGGGTCACAGGCAGGTCTCAACATCAACTACTGAAAGAAAGAAGTTACAGATAGATTGTAGTAGGTTCATTTGGGGTTACCTATGTAGCATGTGGCCCTGCATTCTTAAGCATTGCTATGTATTAATTTGTTGGTTCTGGAAGGCCATGTTTGTACTCCACGACTCTGCTCCTTTGTCCTAGTTACCTAGTTGTGAGCCTCCACCCCAGCCCATCACATTGCCTCTCTGGGGAATTGGTCCTGAGAGGCACTAGGCAGTTTCTGCTGGGTCCCTAAACTGGAGGGCTGTGGAGCAGCCATCTCTGGCTACGGCCTGTGAAAAAAATCTGATCAAGGGAAAAGGAAGAATCCATTGCAGATGGGTACAGACATCAGAGAATGTGACATTCCAGAGACAGTAACCCTCGTGTCCAATGGCTTTCCACTCGCTGGTTCCGCTTGAGCCCATAAGCATTCCTCTTGCACTTTCTTGAGGTTTCATCCCTGTATGTCTATAAAAACTCACTCTTTTATGTTTGTCTGAGTCTTTATTTTTGTCTTCTGTTTACACAGTACCTGAAAATCTTGACTAAGCTGCAAGTCAGATTACATAGTCCAATTTTCTTAACCTTTAATACTATTCCATCAAAATAGGAGAGTTCGGAGGAGAAAAGAAATAGTGCCAGAGAAAGCCTATGAAATGGACATTAGGAGGCACCTCTCTCATCACATTTTCAACTACAAAGAGTAGCTGGAAAGGCCGTCCCCATTTTTAGATGATTACCCAGGAAGAGTGACTAATGCCTAGGGGGCTTGCATTAGACTCTAAACTATCTAATGCTGAGTCCCCTCTGTAAATGAAAGGCCTTAACAAGCTACTTCAGTTTCAATACATCAAAGGAGGCTTGTGGAGACAACTGTTTGCTGCAGGAGCACATGACCTTGCTGGACCTGACATTTATTTCCTTGTCCTTTGAAACAATTAAAATTACACAATTGATGTTCTGCACTTCTTATCTTTTGCATCTTGATGATTACCTCAAAGAAATCATCATCGTGCTGATGATAATAATAAATGATTAAATCTGGCTGTTAGCTTGAAGCAGACTTTGGAGTCCTTCTGCAAAAGGAAAAGAGACAAATAGGAAACTTCTTTGGCTGTACGAAGGTTTCAGGGACACGGCCACACAGATGTGAAGCACTCCCACCACTCCCTGGTGTCTGGAGACGCACAGGAAGCTGCAGCTACTGTTGCTGGTCTTGGCCTGGCCACCAGTTTTTGCTCTGTGGCTGGCTCCAGGTTGGATGGGGAACAGGTTCTGTCAGTGGTGTGTTTTCACATGCAGGGCTGGCCATTTCTCTGATGTAGGCCAACCCTCTGCTTAGTCGCTGACCTCCTCCCACAAATCTGGGATCGTTTTCTAGAGAAGTAGCTGTTACACCCCTCCCCCCCCAACCTATTTTGCCCTTGATTTATCTAGCACGAATGCCACGTAACATTTACAGGATGGATTAAGGACACTCTGAGATCATCACTGTGCTCTGTGGCAGACTGGGTATTTTGCAAAAGCTTGACTACATTCTTATCCCCAGTAAGCCATTTGTTCTTTCTCTTTACCATCAAAACCGCACCTCTTATTAACTGGGGCACTGGCAGGGGTCAGGGAGGTACCCACTCATCTTTGTTGTGAGATATCAAAATAATTTTTCCTAATCTATTTTCTCCAAGGATTCCTCAACTCCAAATACCTTTAGCCTTGTTGCTTGTTGAATTACAATTTTTTAAATATCCTGTTTTCTTACAGCCTTTATTTTAGGCTGTAGATCTTCCATTGGTGCAGAGTGTAAGAGGCGAGCCCTTGGCATGGCAAGTCTTTGCTTTCTGCTCCCTAAACCTCCAGGGTCAGGATCAGGTGTGGCACAAAGAGTTTAAAACATTTTATTAACTTTGTAGTCCAACAATAATCTCAGACTCAGAAAATTTTCTGTCAGCATAAAAAGATTTTGTACCTTGATTTAAAAAAAATAGGAAAAAAAATAAGATGATTTCTTGGATGTAAGGCCAGTAATCAGAGTCAGGATTTCTTGGGCTCTCTGGAGAAAAACGCCATGCCAGCTCACTCATGTTTTCTCTTTCAGAAGCTGGTATTAAAATGTGGAAAACACAGCAAGGGGAGAAAGGTTTTTAATTTTAATGGGACGGCAGAGACCACTTTGAAATATTGAACATTTCCATGAGAACAAATATAATGGCTTCCACCTGATGTCATAACTGCTTGTTCTCTTTAAGAATCCAAGCGTGTAGGTGAGTTTTCCTGACGTAGAATGCGTCTGGGTCCTTCAGGACACTGAAGAGTGTCACTCGCGGAGCCCTGTCGGCTCCCTGCTCTGTGACTTTTCCACGAGTCTGGGCTTTGATTTCAGTGTTCCTTCTGCAAAGCCACGGCCAGTGCAGCCGGGCAGTGACTCAAGCAGATGGCTGGCTGTGACAAGCTTCTTTTGATTGGTAATAAAAATACCAGAAGCTACACCGCATTGTGTACAAATACGTGAGGCTATTGCAGATTCCTTTGTATCACTCGGTTCTATTTTGAGAGCAGGTTGATCTTTTCCATGCAGAACACTCACAGAATGAACAATCACGCCAGGTGTGTGTGTGAAGCATCTACTGCAGTTTGTCAGAGTCAAGGTTTTTTTTTTTTTTTAATCGGCCTTTAAAACCATATCCTTAACCCTCTAAGGTTTCTGACAGACTGTACATGATTCGGGGAGTAGGGGAGAGAATTTCGATCTTGTATAAAA